GACACTTCCTGTTATCCGAGGCAGGAAACATTGCCTTATATGGTGTTTTTGGGGTGGTAATTATGTTAATCTCCTCTCGCGTGCACTTGCAGCTGGAATTTACGTAGCTCATTTACACACTTTTCCTGAAGACAGAAGAGTTTGTTGAATCTGACTTGACATGTTCATACGAACCCTTCGTACGAACAAAAGTAAGAGAAATTTAGGATAAGAATACGAACATGTTCTTGCATGAGGCCCAATGTTTTGTGGTTCTCCTGGAGGAGTTTGATGCAGTTTTTCCTAATTTATTTAAATTTAAATACAGCTAAACCTGCGCACTGTGGTTGAAATTAATGGAGTTGTGTACAAAAGTTTGTAGCACACCAGTGTTGAGTAGTCACGTGACCAGTGTTAAAAAAAAAAACAGCCTGAGTGGAGGTCCCCATTGAGACAGTATTTGTATTATTGAGGAGCATCCGTGAGTATTAATTTATCTATTTAACAAAGTAATTTTCTCTGATCAGGTGTGGGGTAGCGCTAGACGCCTGGATGTTCCCTTTAGATGACAACATCTTTCCTCAAGTCAAACAGCCGATTTTCTTTATTAACTCTGAGAAGTTCCAATGGGCTGGAAACATCAGTCGCATGAAGAAGTTGGAATCTGCGGTTGTGCAGAGGAAAATGATCACCATCAGGTACAATGAAGATGATGATTGTTGTGAAACATTTTGTGCAATTTTGATGACCTAAAATAATCCAAAACATTTTGTCTTCATTCTTCCAGAGGTACGGTCCATCAGAGCTTTCCAGACTTTACCTTCTTGACAAGCAACTGGATTGGAAAGCTGATGAAACTGAAAGGAGAGATTGACCCAAAGCTTGCCATGGACCTCTCCAACAAAGCAACCTTAGCTTTTTTGCAACGCCACCTTGGTAAGAAAGTCCAGACTAGGTCAATCAGAGACGGGTTAAAGCCGCACATTTTGAAAGATTCTCCTGGGTTTTGCAGGTCTGGAGAAGAACTTCAATCAGTGGGACCCCCTGATTGACGGGCAGGATGACAACCTCATTCAAGGAACTAATATAATTGTACTTCAGTCTGCCATCTAAACTGCTGCAGTGCCTCAAATACTCAGGAATCTCTGCAGCGGTCAAAAAAAAGCCAAGCTGTGTGGGCTTGGCATTCGCTTTGAAATGTACTGAGATAACTATTTTGGGAGTAACAATGAGGACAAAATCCACTCTACCTCATCGGCAGAAAAAATAAAGCACCAAGTGTAGTGCTGCTTGTATTGCAAGACCTAAATGTTACAGTCAGGCAGTTGAACATTTACTTTGCCTTTTGGTAAAATCTGTTTTAAAAGCAGTTACTTAAAGAATCATTGTATTAAATTTGTGTATATTTTAGACAAATCTAAGCTTTTAGATCATTCCCCACCAGAAACAAGCTACTCTCCGATTGCTGCGTGATTGTCATATTTTAATAATCTTAYCAGTGAGCAATGAAAGGGTAAGATAAGTTAAGACTTGTTTTATAATTAGGAGCCTGGCCAAGATAAATATAGATTAATAGAAAGCATCTATTCTGATTTAAAAGACCCTGTCCTACTATAATGTTTTAGACAATATGCCAACGTATGACTTTATTTTAAAAATGTCAAAATTACTAATAAGTTATGTATTTAATCAATTTGTTAGCATTAAGTACATGCCTAAAAGAGGCTTCCAGTTGATTTTTTTAATTCCATCTTTTTCCATCGTTTGTAAAATTTTCACAAGTTGTCTAAGGCTACATGCACACTGCAGGTTTTAATGCTTAATTCAGATTTTTTTTTGGGGGGGTGGGTCCGATTTTGTGGCATTCACATTACATTTTTTTTCCCATCAGACTCCAGTGTCAATGCTCCATGGCAATGATGTGACATGCATGCACAGAAAAGATATGACATCACATTCAGCTCGCCATTTGTTTACAAAATTATCTAGACATGCTACTTGTAGCATATCGATTCTGACGTCGATATTCATTCAGAGCTGATTTAATAATTATCTGACATGTTTAGATCAGTGTTTATATCCGAACCTGCCTCTGACTGTACGCTCCGGTGAAGCACTACTTTTGGAACGATGTGCTGAAAGTAAAGCATCAAACCTTAGGATCGATACAGTTCGTGACCAAATTTGGACATTATTATCATTTGTTTCTGTGAATTCCCGGTCGACCAGGATATGAAAAATGAAAAGGAAAAAGGGGCAACTGGTCTTCTGTTTTGTAGCTGGAGACATGTGGAGCTACAGATTTAAACAGCGTGACTCAAGGTTAGTGTCTTTATCGAACTTTCACCCMACTTCACTTATGACAGTCGGATGTAATGAGACGTGTTCAAACTGCAGTCACTTTGAAAAATATCAGAAATGTATCGGAGTCAGTACACCATACTGAAAAAGCCTGGGTCGGATTTGAAGAGGAAAAAAAACTTTAAATCAGATTTGTCACATTCAGGCTGTCATAAAAAAATTGAAAAAAAAAATCAGATATGGGTTGCATGGGGCAAAAAATAAATAAAAGAAAAAAAGAAATTGGATTTGAGGTCGCATTTGCCTGCGGTGTGAACTTGAGTCTAAAACATAGTGACAGGGCCTTAACAGGACTGTGTCAGGCATTATAAAATACTATAAAGCTGTTTGTGCCATAAACCTGTACGTTGCTTTTTTTTTTTTTTTTTTGCCAAATCGAATTTTTTTGCCAGGTCCAATGTTTATAAACATAAAAGGTCTGCATCTTTCCATAATAAAAATTCAATAAACCTGGGATAAATTTCATCTGGCATTCCAACTTTAAAAATCTGACAGATCTTGAAGCTACTTTTCAGTGTGGTGTGTGCGTTAAGAAGTATAGTTTTTTTTTTTTTTTTTGTTGAGGTGTATAAAGTGAAACTGATTTAAGTATCCTCTGGTATATTGTTGCCATGGTTCTCAAACTGTGGTATCTCTAGTTGTGCTCAGAAGAAATTTTGGGATCAACCATTTACAAGTTGAATAAGAATTTACTATCATAGGTGCAATAAAGAATATTTTTAAAATTCCTGTGAAAACTAAAAGGGACATCTGAAAACCAGTATGCCTATTGTTTGATACACCTTTCAATGTCACATGTACAGTACATCAGTGGGCATTGCTTGCTGGAGCTTTCAGAGTGGACTCTGGTGCCTTGATAATCTATTTTCCTTCTTGCACAGTCACTCAGTTTACGTTCTTGGTAGAATTGCACATCTGAGATCTTCACGACGATCAAATCATCAAGAAATGTGAGGAATGAGTCATCTCATTCTTTTCATTTCTTGATGATCTTAACAGAACTGGAAATGTTTAGGATCTTTGGAATCCTTTAACATTCCCATCTCAATTTGTACTTTTCAATAAACTTTTCTCACTTTAAAGCAAGTGAAAACTTGTGCAATCACTTGCATTTTTTTTAAATTTCTTATACTTTATAGAAATATCATTTCACTTTGCCATTTAAGAGATTTTTTGGTCTGGAAGATCACTTTCTAGAGATCTTGACTGATTTGATAGCTACAATGGGGAGATCAAGTATTTGATACACTGTTGATTTTTCAGGTTTTCCCACTTGCAAAGCTTGTAGAAGACTGTAATTTTTATCATAGGTACTCTTCAACTGTGAGTGATGGAATCTAAAACAAAAATCCAGAAAAATACAATGTATGATTTTTAAATAATTAATCTCCATTTTATTGTGTGAAATAAGTATTTGATACACCAGAAAAATAAAACTTAATATTTGGTACAGAAACCTTTGTTTGCARTTACAGAGATCAGACGTTTCCTGTAGTTCTTGACCAGGTTTGCACACACTGCAGCAGGGATTTTGGCCCACTCCTCCATACAGATCTCCTCCAGAGCCTTCAGGTTTCGGGGCTGTCGCCGGGCCAMACGGACTTTAAGCTCCTCCAAAGATTTTCTATTGGATTCAGGTCTGGAGACTGGCTAGGCCACTCCAGGACCTTAAGATGTTTCCTACGGAGCCACTCTTTAGTTGCCCTGGCTGTGTGTTTTGGGTCGTTATGCTGGAAGACCCAGCCACGACCCATCTTCAGTGCTCTTACTGAGGGAAGGAGGTTGTTGGCCAAAATCTCACGATACATGGCCCCATCCATCCTTCCCACAATATGGTGCAGTCGTCCTGTCCCCTTTGCAGAAAAGCATCCCCAAAGACTATGTTTCCACCGCCATGCTTCACGGTAGGGATGGTGTTCTTGGGGTTGTACTCATCATTCTTCTTCCTCCAAACATGACGAGTGGAGTTTAAACCAAAAAGTTCTATTTTTGTCTCATCAGACCACATGACCTTCTCCCATTCCTCCTCTGGATCATTCAGATGGTCATTTGCAAACATCAGACGGGCTTTGACATGCGTTGGCTTGAGGAAGGGCACCTTGCGTGCTCTGCAGGATTTTAATCCTTGACGGCGTAGAGTGTTACTGATTGTTTTCTTTGAGACTGTGGTCCCAGCTCTATTCAGGTCATTGACCAGGTCCTGCCGTGTAGTTCTGGGCTCATTCCTCACCTTCCTCAAGATCAATGATGCTCCACGAGGTGAGATCTTGCATGGCGCCCCAGACCGAGGGAGATTTTCCCTTATTTTGTATTTCTTCCATTTTCTAATAATTGCACCAACTGTTGTTGCCTTCTCACCAAGCTGCTTGCCTATTGTCCTGTAGCCCATCCCAGCCTTGTGCAGGTCTACAATTTTATCCCTTTTGTCCTTACACAGCTCTCTGGTCTTGGGCATTGTGGAGATGCTGGAGTCTGATTGATTGAGTGTGTGGACAGGTGTCTTTTATACAGGTAACGAGTTCAAACAGGTGCAGTTAATACAGGTAATGAGTGGAGAACAGGAGGGCATCTTAAAGAAGAACTAACATGTCTGTGAGAGACAAAATTCTTACTGGTTGAYAGATGATCAAATACTTATTTCACACAATAAAATGGAAATTAATTATTTAAAAATCATACGTTGTATTTTTCTGGATTTTTGTTTTAGATTCCATCACTCACAGTTGAAGAGTACCTATGATAAAAATTACAGTCTTCTACAAGCTTTGCAAGTGGGAAAACCTGAAAAATCAACAGTGTATCAAATACTTGTTCTCCCCACTGTATATGTCTAAACCATTCAAGGGACTGAATAATTTTCTTAGCCACTTTATCTATCCAGAGTACAAAAGAGGCTTAGGGCCACTGGGAAAATAAAAAATTTGGAGTTTAACTCAGAATTTTTATTTTCAGTGGCACTAATCCTCTTTAGTACCAGAGGACMACTATAAGATACACAGAGCTGGGCTTCAGAAAAGAAATGGCATTGCTTAAAGAAGTGGGTTTGTAAGTGTCCTTCAAAGACAGGGGCACCTCCTAAAAATCAGGGGAAGGTGGGCAGATAAGGGCAACTGATAATCTTTGGTAAATACTTCTGCAACTTAACTCCCTAAATGGAAAAAGCAACACCAAACACAATTTGCTTTTTTTTTTACTGCTTTGAAGAATGACAGGAAACAAACTCTTTAACATGAACCTTGAATTCTTATTGGACCAACACAAATATCTTCAGAACAAGCACATAAAGCAAATACAGGGTTTTTTTTTTTGCATACCATTCAAACTAAAATATTTTAAATGCCTAACAGAACAAGATGTGTGGCAGCTTCTTATAACAGATTTGTTCTACTTCAAACAACAAAACAAACAATAATGACATGTTTGAGCARCTCTGAGTAGAGGCATTTGTAACCAGATGAATAAAAGTAGACATTAKGTCAAAACGAACAACTTGTCAAATTAAAATAAATGAGCACAAGAACTGAGTGCATACAACACACACAACAAAGCAAACTTATCTGCACTGAGCAGTAGAGACTAGTTGGTAAAACAAATGTAATCAATGAACTTCAAATTGAAGTTTATGCACAAAGAAAGAGGCAGTCACTCCTCTGCCTGCTGCTTAGCGATCAGGACATCCGAAGCATCTCTGATCACCAGAGAGAGGTGAGTTATTTTAGAAAGCTGAGCCTCTGAAAAGGTGAGGAAACATTATTAGCTTAAGCATTTTACATAAAATCTTTGGGGGAAAAAGCACAGAGATTAAGATTGACAAGTTCATAGCAACTATTTTAATTTAATTATTCGTCACGCTTTAAGGTCTACAAACTGATGTTTATCGGCTGCTGTTGAATGTGAATGAGTGTTTAGCAGAAAAAAAAAATCTCATGAACCACTTGCCTTTTCATTTTTTCCATTTCAGTAAAATGGAGAACAAACAGGATCAATATTGAATCCTGACCTTTTTTTTGACCRTCAGACTGATGCAGCTTTTTTCCCCCCTTTTTGTAATGTTCCTCCAAAAATAGATTAAGTTATTTTCCTTCTCATCTAACACCAGGAAGCCTTAGAGACTGAGAACAAAACTTACCAAAACTGTCCTTTGCAGAGGAGGTTTGCTCTGTGAGCAAGCTTTCGTCAAGATCCTGAAAAATATAATTTGTAAATCAAAAACTAGAAGTGAGAATTACTCCAGCAATTCTACAAACAATTGAGAGAGCACCCAGAGACCTCTGGAATTGTGTGAGGATTCTATTTAACAAATATTAAAATTGGTTTTCTACAAGTACAAAATAATGGCAAATTTATTTTCTCAAGAAAACAGTGAAAAGAAGTTTAGATTTTTTTTTTATTATTTGATCCCTCGTAGAAATCACTTGAACCTCATTCTTCAGTCTGAAAATCAGACTGAAGCGATGCCAGGCATTTGAGTTTGTGGCAAACATATTTCTTCTAAAAATAATTGCTAAAATCTCATCTCAATCTCATTGTGAATCCAGTATTTCAATGATTTTCAATTTAAAAACAAGAGTCCTGCCCAGGGTCCCCAGGTTCTGCTTCATCAAGGGAAGATGTTGCTGGTGGGATTGAGGAGGTCTTTGAAGTATCAAGTCTAATGTTACAAGCAGTGGTGGGCAGCACTAATCTAAATATTAGTTGCACTAGCCCTAAAAGCACTAGCTCAAATATTTAGGTCCCCTAATTCTAAAGCACTAACCCACTGAAAATTTTAGCAAAAGCTAATTCTAAAGCACTAATATAATCAAGTTGACAGATGAAACATTCTTCAGTCAATTCTGTGTGCAGAATATTGTAACTTAGTGCCCTTGGCGGGCCAAATGGGAGTCACCCGCAGGCCACATTTGGCCCGTGACCTTGTACATAAGTGACACACACATGAACAAAATGTGTGACAGCTTTCACCCTCAACTGTGAACAATAATGTTAATAACATCTAAAGACCTCAGTTAGTGTTTCTAAATTTAGCAAGTGCTAAACCACTAATGAATTTAAGAAATAACAAAAGCCCTAAAGCACTAATCAAGAAATTAGTTCCCCTATTAGAGCTTTATTGTTTTATGGGAACTGTGCCCACCACTGTTTACAAGAAAATGTTGGATCACTTTAATTTTCTCTTGAACCTACAAAGTGTCCAGTTTTGCCTTTTTACACAAAGATTCCAGCCAACTATCAATAATTTTATACTTTTACCTTCACTATCAAAACCAACAACATTCTGATGGAAGAGAGGACTTTAACAACTTTTCTGCTGTTTGCTTTAATTTCATTGAATATATATATATTATTCAGTGGTGGACAAAGTACTCAACTCTAGTTCTTGAGTAAAAGTTTTGATACTCAGGGTCAAATCTACTTAACTACAAGTAAAAGTTACTCTGTCAAAAATCTACTCAAGTTAAAGTACTGAAGTACTTACTTTTGAAAATACTTAAGTATTTTAAAGTACTTGCATTTAAAAGTACTCAAGTATTCAAACATACAAATAACATTTTCTAAATTGCTGTATTGTTCTCAGAGTGCATTTAAAGAAYCTTGTCACTCTCAGAAACCACCTGATGTATTGACATGTAGAACCACTGCGGTACAAATTCTACACCTGTAAAGACTTCAGCATAAAAATGCAATAAAGTGAGTGGTGAGTGCTTAAATGCAGAAATGTAGTTTATCTGCAGGGAACACAGAAGACATTTAAACTGATACAAACTATTTTTCAGTCCAAAAATCTCAAACATGGAGCTGAGATATGGTCATGGCTGGTTCCTCTACTCTCAACTGTCTCCAGGGTTCTGTTTGAAATGAAGGTGGAGCTCAGCTCATGACCGTTAATGAAGATGATGTAATTCCTAATCTATCCTAGATGTGAGCTACGACTGTGATTGGTTCCTGTGATGGCCAAATGCATGGCCACACTCCATTGAAGTCGGTAACTCATGCACATTCATTTCATTTATTCATTCAAACATTAAATTTAATTTGCAATAGAATGTCATTTGTTGATTTTAAATACATTTGTTCTATTTGTAAGCACGCACTTATAGTTTACTTATGTATTTTTATCAACTCATTGTTTATTTTGGTTGTGCTGTTGACTAATTCTTGTTTCTTTTACTGGTATACCTGCTGTGGTCTCTGGGAGTTACCAAACAACAGATGGTGGTCAGGGCTTGACAGGTGGATAATTGGACTGCACCACCAGTTTCTGCTGAGGAGGGGGACCTTGTGTTTCTTTGTTTAAACAAGTTTTTGTGTTTAAGTGAATATTTACATTTAGAGTTTTTAAAATGTTTGATTTCTTCTTTAGAATTTAGTTTATTAGCAAACTGAACACACACACACACACGTTTGTTTTTCTATCCTTGCCTAATCATTACCTGTCCTAAACCTAACCCTTAAACCAGTGTTTCCCAAAGTTGGGGTCGGGACCCAAAGTGGGGTCCTGAAACATCAAGGTGGGGTCCTGAAAAGATTTTCTGAATTAATGACATTTTTGCCTTAGTTGTTACAAAGGAGTGAGGTTAGTGTATTTAAAATGGATAAATGTAGTATAAAAATATTGTTACTATTCCCATGTTTTGTTGACCTGATACAAATGTTTATCATCCAAAAATAGTTGGGGGCACAGGTCTCTGCTACTGTTATTTTGTGGGTCAAAAGCTGAAAAGTTTGGGAACCACTGCACTTTGGTTCCCAAAGTTGGGCTTGGGACCCAATTATGGGTCATGAAGCACCTTGGATAATCTCCAGAAATGAATTTAAAAGGTAATAAAATAATTTCTCATGTAATATTTTCCCTATAATTATTACAAAATCACAAAATAAGTATAAATAAATGTTTTTAGGATTATTAACGAAGTTCGTGTACTCAGACCAGTAATATTTGGGGTCACAAGTTTTTGCCATGAATATTTTGTAGGTCAGAAGATAAAAAGTTTGGGAACCACTGCCTTAAACTATCAATGTTCTGCTACATTAGGACCCCAAAAGAATAACTGGTCCTAACAAGATAAATGTTTATACCAGAAAATCTTCAGAAAATGTCACAAAAACACACATATAGTTGTGCTGCAGCCTTGCTCTTGCCCTCTATCAATACAGTAAAAGACTATTAAAAGAAGCATAATTACTTCAGTAGAAATGGATTTTGAAAGTTTCTGCAGCTAAAATTGGAACATTTGATTAGCCTAACACTGATTTCAAACACTTTTGTAATTTGACCTATCCTGATCTGCTTAAATTACCAAATCAGGATACCCACTTTACACTACAATGAGTGTCCTCATTTACCCATTCACACAGCACTTTACTATGTATAGTTTAAATCTTTATCCATTGATATCGAAACCTACAAGAATCACAACTCATAGTGCTATAATTAACATTTTTACAAATATAACAAATGGAGAAGTGATAGGTGGCATTTTGACAATTGATCATTAATAAGTTTTCACAATTTATAAAAATGATCAATGCAATACAAATGTACATACAACAAAGAAAAAAAATAAACACATCAACAAAAGCTTTGGATAAATTAAATGATTAAAAAAACTGGAAGAATGTTTATGTTGATGATGTAAACAGAGCATATGATGGCTTTATGAATATTTTAAAATCTCTGAAAATAGAATTCTGCAAAAAATATATATACAAAGATAAATACTGTTGACAAACCATGGATGGCAAATGGGTTGAGAAATGCGTGTAAAAAATAATTACCTGTACTCATGCTTCTTGAAATTGAGAACAAAAAAAATCAACTTTATTTATAAAGCGCTTTAAAACAGTGGCCACTGACACAAAGTGCTGTAAATGAGGGGCCAAAAACAATAAAACTGATCAACACTAAAAACACTAAAATCAAGCAAAAAATAAAAATAAACAAACTGCTGAAACAGACCAAGATCTCAAACTGTGTTAAAAGCCAGTGAATAAAAATAAGTTTTAAGATTAGTTTTAAAAACAGGCAATGAGGAGGCCTGCCTGACGTGTAGGGCTAGCTCATTCCAGAGCTTCGGAGCAGCAACTGTAAATGCTCGATCCCCTCTGAGGGGTCGCTTTGTCCTTGGTATTTTAAGGTGCAACTGATTGGCCAGGGGTAGACATAAGGATATTTTTCAGGTTGTCCATCGACGAAACCTGGTTGTCCGCAAAACATTTTGGTTGTCCAAAAGAATCTCTAGAAAAATGTAATTTTAATTTAATGTATTTAATATTGCTCTGTAGACAAAGTTTATTATATATAATTGTTCTCAGTCAGCCAGGTTGACAGGATCTGCATGAATAAAACTTCCTCGTTCTCTTCTTTGAAATAGAGTATTTAAGGCTAAGGGAGTAAAGCAGCAAAAATGCTGCTAATAAAATCTAGGTTACCCAACATTCATAAACTTCTTTCTGCTCATAGGTCAAACATTTTCACTTAAATAGCAGGGCTCTAGAGTGCAACCAATTTGGTCGCAAATGCAACCTAATTTCCTAATAGTACGACTAAAAAAATGTCAGGTGGTGGTCCACTGGTGCGACCAATCGTTTAAGGGGGAGGAGGAGCGGTCGCCCGCCGACAGTCTCATCTCTCCTAATAACACTGCGCTCTGCTCCACACCTCCCGCGCACACACGTTTGTTGTTCTATCCTCATGGGGACTTTGCATTGGCTTCCATTCATTTCCCTGACAATTCTATAACCAAACTTAACATCCAAGGTAGACTACACACCTGACCAAATTCCCCTCACCAGGCTGTGTGTACCAGGGAAATGGTCAATAATTGTACCCACCATGAAGCAAAAGTCTGTATACACACACACGCGTGCGCACAYGCATAGCGAAACAACCGTAGTTTTTTTTAAACCCAGATCAGAGTCTGAAAAAGTTCTTTCTTGTTAGCTGGAGATGAAAACAAGACGTGGACGGTTGCTCGCTCGTCCATCTTGTTAATTTAACAGTCGGGGTCTGAGCGCTGCAGATCGTTTGAGCAGAACGAGGAAGCTCACATGTATGGCAGGCCGGTTTTGCATTTAATCGACTTCACCAGTTACATTCCAAGTATCTGAAATAGGTTCTTCTGGGTCTCAGGAGGATAAAACTAGACATATTAGATATTTAAGTGAAATAATATAAGATAATAAG